CAAAAATGAAATGAGATAAGTTTATATCAAAGAACATGATGAACTGAAGAAGAAAGAAGAAAAAACATGAAAGAAAAGGAAAATAAAGGAGATTGTTAAAAGAACATATGACTTTTTCTTGTTTTTTATTCTCCTTCCTTATTTCCCTTTAATAGGTTGGAAAAGAAAAGAGATTGAAAGAGAAGTAGAATAAGTTCTAGATCTAGAAGTAAAAGGGAAAAGACAAACAGTGTGGTATAGAGAGAAACAATAAGAGTACATACAAATTAAGAGTGATGTCAACAGGGAAGCAGTAAGGGACAGGTAAGAAGAAGGAAAAGATGTCTTAAGAAATCAATTTGTCAATGTTTTGACAATTATTTCAATTTTTGCCTTCCATTTTTAGATTAAATATTCCTTTGTTCCAGGAATAGGATACCATGCAAAAAGAATTTTTCGCTTGTAGGTTCTGTTCATCTTAATGTATTAGAGTGACCAATCCAGTTATTATTCTTGGCATAATCCCATTTCCTTATGAATTTCGATCTCTAAATGTAGTAAAATTTGATTCATCCACCTTCACATAACACATTTATCTTGCAGGGGATTCGGCTGTCGGTAAGAGTGCGTTGACCCAGGTCTTTCACAGCGATGGTGCACATTTTCCAAAGGGTTATTCAATGGTAAATATTATAGACAGTCGACAGTGTTTGATTTATGTTTAACTTTTGATTTTGTAGTTCAGCTAGCTTACCGGTAATGTATTTCAGTTTTGATAGGAATCGTTTTAATTATAGCTGTCATGATACATTTTTTCAAAAAATACATTAATTAAAAAACAATCGGTATCATTCTTAACTGTAGAAGTATTTTCTGTCGGTAAATGCATGGTTTACATAATTACGTTGCATAGTAGAAAAAAAAGTTAAAAATAGAAAACTATATTAAAGACATTAATGAAGGACATGATGGTGATGATGGTAGTAAACTAGTAATAATACTGATGATTGGATTACTACAGTGACTTTTTCATATGATACTTTTAAACGTTGTCTTTTCCAGAATTTGAAAAGTATTTTGTGCAAGTACTTGTCTAGTTCGATAATATGCCAGTAATGCTTAAATATACTTTTTTAATGATACTAAACATTTTTGTCCAATTGATGAACATGTTTTTTCTGTCTGATCACATTTATCATTATTTTATTTTTCTCTCTCCTCCCTCTCTCTCTCTCTCTCTTCCCTCTCTCTCTCTCTCTCTCTCTCTCTCTCTCTCCCTTTGTAATTGAAGACGGTTGGAGTAGAACTGTGTGTCAAGAACATCAGTATTCCAGACACAAATGACACAGTGGTATGTATGAAACGACATTAACTTAAACATTGTTACCTACACACTGTTACCTACATCAAGTAAAGAGAGATTATAATTGTACTAAAGTTTCAGGGTTACACCATGTAATTCTTTCAAAGGAATAGGAGCCCAGAAAAGGGCTGGTGAGCTCTGCTAAGAAATAGGGAAAAGTAATTTCCCAGCTCTCATACCCCTTTGGGTGACATGACATTAATCCTGCTCGGGTGCGCAAGTGTCAAATTATTGTATGTATTCATTATGTCCTATGTACATTGTATATTGATTCCTGATTTGTTTCTTTTGAAAGTGCCAAATAAAATGATAATAATAATGTCATTCACTTCCTTATATTAAATTATTATTTGCTACAGTTTCTTTGATTACTAATGTCAATCTTCTGTTTTTGTCTTGTTAAGGAGCTGTATATCTACGATACGGCAGGCAAAGAGACGTACTCTGATTACGCACAGCAAGCAGTAAGTACATGTAGCGCATCTTGCAAAGCGTCTTGGATATTCTTCCTAATACAAAATGTCTACCCCCCCCCCCCCCATCTTTCTTGTTAAACCTTCCTTTCTTTAGGTCTTTATATCCTTTCATCGTGCAACAGTGTTTATTTGTTTTAAAGTCTCACCTATAAAATACGTTATCTGCATGAAAAGAAACTCTTTATCATTCTAAATGTTAAAATGCTATGAAGTTCAACAGTTTTCTCCATGCACATCCATGACATGGCACTACTAATATATGCAACACATTGCATCTTGATGATTGGTAAAGAAGATGATATATCGGTACTCTCTCTTTCTCTACCTCCTCTGAAGTGGGAACACCCCTCTGTCATGATGGTGGTGATGGATGTGACGAATGAGAACAGTTTCATGGCTTGCAATCGCTGGGTGGAACGAGTCAAGGCCAAAGCCGGACAACACATTCCAGGTATGATATTTTTCTTCTTTTTCTTCTGTTGAAGTAGAGGCCACCATGCTGTTGGTATATCTCATACAATTAAACATATACACAAACAAAAATAACTTGAGATGTGCAGTAAAAAAATTGCACAGGAATATTACCATGACAGGTTCAATAACACCCTTATATAAAAGTCTGGACCCCCCCCCCCCCCCCCCAAAAAAAAAAAAAAAATAAATAAATAAAAATAAAATAATAATAATAATAATAATAATAATAATAATAATCACATTTTATATAGGGCTCATACATACAAACTATAACAAAATTTTGTTCTGGACCCCCTTTTAAAAAATTTGGTGTGAAGCCCTGAACCAGTATCAAAAAAAATATATACTTCAAATGTTGAACAATTTTAAGTTTTAAGTGCACAATCAGAGTTCTTTAGCAGGATCGGTGGTACATGATATTTGTTAGAAATAGTCAATAGCACACTTTTCTGAAGTTTTATTATAATTGTTATTATACAAAGATGAAACATAGATTCAAGCTATTCTGTTCAAGTTTCATTCTAGCAAATGCATACCTCTTATTTATATGACCGTTAATAATTCATTTACAACTCTCATACTTTTATGCATTTTGACAGGTGTATTTGTAGCCAACAAGACGGACCTTGAAGGACGCAGGGTCGTGGAGAGGAACAAGGCTGAAGAGTTTGCCAAGGGCAAAGGACTGGAGTACTTTGAGTGTTCTGCTGTGAGTATCAACCTCAACCATGTTTCTGAATCCTATCGGACTTGTCCCAATCATTGGGACTGTGTAAGCTTAAATTCTATACAGCTACGAATAGAACATGTACATGGATCGGAAATTTTTGGTGCGCCTAGCTTAGCTTTCATGGACCAGCTAAACTCAGTTATGATGAGCTGTTTTCTTCATTTCTGCATATTCTGCCACGATGGATAGTTTTCAGAAGGGTAGCCAGCGTAGGAAGGATTGATGAGTTGAATATCAGAATTTCCTAACATCCCCACCTAGATATTATTCACATATTTGTCATGTAAAGCAGTTCACCAAAACTTACTGTGAGTGATAGTGATCCTTATTGCAGGTGTTTCAAAATTTTGCACACCTCAACACCCAATATGCATGAATGAAATTTAAACTTTTAATCGATAACAATAGGTAATTCCATCATATTTTAGTGCATTGTTGAGAGCCTTAAGTAATTCTCTCTGATTAAACACTCATTTTACTCATTCGTTCTATACAGAAGGAGCAAAACAACACCGATGCACCATTCTACTACCTGGCTAATGCGTACTACAAGCTGTACCAAGAGAGAGTGGAAGTGATGAAGACGATAGCATCGTGATAGAGCTGCCTTTTCATCCTAAAATTACTATCAAGTCTTGTAGATATATATTATTTGTAAATATTGTGACTGATTCATGTGTAGTGACAGCATATTTCTTCTTCATAGTAGTGTAACTCAGATTATTTGTAATCCTTTATGACTTGTTATTGAGTGTAGCAGGGTTGGCATATTTCTTAATCAATTATTAATCCTGATTTAATTCGGCGTGAGAATGCAATTAATCAAGAATCATGATTGGATGGGTTATACTGGTGCTGGAAAGTCAAGTGTTTTGAACATGGGAAGTTTTGCAGCTTTGGCATGCTACTGATGTCCTTTGGGAAGACTTGCATCTACCGTTGCCACTCTCGATCCAGGTGCAGTGAATGGCTAACTTGTAAGAGGTATCCCTTGTAATGAAATATTATGCACAGTGGCAGCAAGAGCTGAATCTAGGGTACCTTTTTCCAAACTGTATCGAGACAGGGATTTCATGTTTTATGCGCTGTACAACAATTGATTACTATCAATGCCTTCATTGTTAATCAATGTCATTAAACTGTTTTGACAATTTATCCTTTCATTCTTTGCAGCAACTGTTTATTAGATGTATGGTATACTTCTAACGTATAGTTCTTTTTAACAGTTTTCTGAGATCCAAACTACCATGTCATTTTAAAACTTGATGTGATATCCTGGCCGTAGATATTTTCCTGCATGGGAATCCAAACAAGATTCTTTTGATGACCTAGATAGGTCACATCATACATTTATACCAATCAGTGATTTTCAGTCTCTGTATATACTATATTTGAAAGATAGTGCAACTTTCTTTGTTAGAATCAGTGCGCAGCTTTATGCATTGTAATACATGAAATTGTACTCGTGCAAAATCCTAAATCTATTGGATGCAACTTTCCTGAAATGAAGCAATGGGAGTGGAACACATACTGGAAATCTTGTTTAGTACTAAAGTACCTGTTTCAAAAACATGTCTATATTAGTAACACGTTCCAGGCTAAATTTGAATCATATTTTAATGAGATGGCTGAAAAGTGTGATCATTCAATGACTGTTTATGAATAAGCCCCTTTTATTGAGCTTTTCCCAAAAATAGAAGTTTGCAATGCATACACCAGATGTGTTTTCTAAACCATGATAATTGTTTTGCTTGTATAGAATGTAGTTCAATTACATGTATATGTATGTACATATTTGTGTGAATATTATGTAGATGTTATCATTGTAAAATAAAAAGTTTAAATCCTCATACTTCAGATATTAAATAGCAAAATTCAGACCAAATTGTTGCCAAGCTTTGATATTCATTCCATCAAACTAAAGACGATAACATCTGGATTTTATAGGTAAAAAAAAAAACAGGAGAGACTGCATCAGTATCGTGTCATTTCATCATAATCTTTATTTACAGTTCTTTGTACAAGTTCACCTGCAACAGGTTTATATTTATCATTACTTCAATCATATTGACAATAGACATAATGAACTACAATATACTTACTACACTAATCACATGAATCTACTGCCTATCGTATCGTCTTAATGCCCAAGACAAGAGGTAATTGGGTCCTTTTAAAACTTGACTTCAAGGAAAAGTGAAACAAATTAATAAAGTATTGAGAGTGAAATTGGCATCAATTGAAATTTAGTCAAAAAACAGACAGCACCTATGATACGCTCAAATTTGATTTACTGGTAAGACTGAAGTCAAGAATTACACTTCCCCCGTCAAAATGGTCAATCTAAACCTGTCCGATACATTAACTTTTAATTTTAAATCATATCTACCATATCTAGATTAACTTTGATATCCCGGGTAACATATAAACCATATGTTTCCCTCTCTCTATTCGCCTTGTTGATGCTCAAGAAAAATATTGACAAATGTACTATTGGGTAGAAATGGGTAGGGTAAAACTGTCTGCAGTTGTGTAGAGTTTTTTAAAGTTCTCATCATTTTCAAAACTCAGAGCCCTTTCTTTGCAGCAAAAAAGAAGAAGAAAAAAAAAAAATTACCCCAACAGAATGTTTGCATTATCTTTTTCTTTACAAAATAGGACATAAAAAAGATAAATTGCACATTTTGTGAACATCTGTATATTGTTTGAATATTTTAGACATCTATACAATGCAGAGATACTTAATCTAATGAGCTCTGGATATATTATGTGAGTAATTATAAAAGTCATAATTGTTGATATAGTGGTGTATAACCTTGAAAAATACCATATGAATTATTTCATATTTTCCCTTTTTTTTGCATGAAATAAAGTAAAAAGGCAACTTATCGATACAGTTCTGCACAATTTCGTGCCTGGATCTTCATGCTTGGTTCATACTTTGGACAATCCAGAAAATTCTCATAAGCATGAAGCCGATGTCTTGAAAAAGAAATTAAAGTTGAGTTCTGCAAACTTTTCTGTCAACTAAATAGTAAGAGGGGCCCAACAAGACCAGTGTTATTTAAACATATGTGTGGTTTACACCCAGTAAATAAGATCAATTGATCGATCTGTATTGAAAACCAAGTCAGAAAAAAGACCAGTGTTGTGCTTAAAAGTTTACACCTGACTATAGTGTGTTGACCCTACACCACACTACACTTTCATGGAATAGATTAAGGACAAAAAACAAAATATATATCTTCATTTTATAAATCACAGAATCACAGAATAAACCACAGATGAAAACTGTGTACATGTATAATACAGTTCAACACATACTGCTGTCCACACCATGGCGGTACTATTTTGAGAAAAAGAAGTCTCCAAGCACCACAGCTGTCCAGGGCCCCATCTTACAAAGAGTTGCGATTGCCTTCAATCAATAGCAAGTTTGCAGTCTCCTATCTCCTATGTACATAGGTGCAATTGATATCAACTCTTTGTATTAAAGATGGGCCCAGATATCTAACATCATTTGTACAGGTGATATATGCTCATCACAATCACTCGGTCGAAATTATCATGTAATCGCTTGAACACCACAAAGTTTTCCACGACAAATCTCATGGCATCTATACATCTTGACAGTGATTGCATCACAGTGCATGAGCAGTGTAAGTGGTGAGTCTATGTGGTGATGTTGTCACAGAAAGCTAGCGAGGTAATGGCCTTCTGATGACCGTTGAACTCTCGTTTGACCTCGCCTTCCGCTATGCTCCATAACCGAGCTGTCCTGTCAGATGATGCTGGGAAGAGAAAGAAATAATCAAATCGTGTCAACATTGGTATCAAACTCCAGCTTCTGAAACTCCAACAAATTAAATTTTAAAATAGTATTCTCATATCAAAATGTTGTCATTTTTTCACATTTTGAGCCAAATAATTGACATACTTTCTTATATTTTTTATTTAATTTCAGATCTATGTTTGGAATAGTGTATCAACGCAACTGAATTTTTGTTTTAACTGTAATCGCTCCTATGAATGTTTGTAAAAATATGATTACGAATGATCAATAAAACATAAATTTAAAAAAATAGGGAAAAAGATCAGTTTGGCCAGATTTAAGAAGAATTGGTGATTCATGAAACCGTCCAAAAATCCTAGTCCTTGATGGAATAATCATATTTAGGACTGGGATTTTTAACAGGTTTATATTATCGGCTTTTCTTAAATTTGACAACACTGGTATATTTTTCCTTTAATTGAACAGTTTTTGACTTAAAAAGTATTCAATCTGTACAGAATAGATGGTCAGAAGTTTTTCTATTTGTATTGAAGAACAGCAATTTTTTTCATTGTTGCCAAGAATTACATTACAATCCAATAGAGAAAAGCAAAAAAAGGAGACTAAGTTTTGCTCATGCTTCTGGTATATTTTGTAGGCTCCACAGGATGTGGGCTCTTGTTATATAAAATGGGTTAGAAGAAAGGAAAAAAAATGACTATGTGTGAACACATCATGGAACCCTTACCTGTGACTACATACTGTGAATCTGACGAGAATGCACAGTCCCATACCCATTGTTGCATGTCGACACTCAACGTTTGCATTAGAGAGAAGTCTGCCGTCCTCCAGATACGCACCGATTTATCTCCCGATGTGGTCGCTAGTAACCTTTGGGGGAAAATTTCATAAAAATCCAGTCATGGGTCAGGTTTTAAACTTCAGGAAGATAAATTTATCGTGCAAATTTTGAACACCAAAATACAATCCTTTATGAAGCAACTATCTACTGGTATTCAGATCCGCTGACACATTATTCTTGCTTTATGCCTCTCTCATACTCTTTGGTGGGGAATCTTGTAGATTAATGGGCAAGAATATAATGAATCTCTCAGAATAAGTAAAATTATTTCTTGGGGTGAGGTTTCCTTTAAGATTAGGTGCAGGGTCCAGGCTTAAAGTGATTTATTTGGTCAGTGTAGGACATTGATTGCAGAGCAATTCTACCAGAGCATGTTTCGTATAACCATCCATTCGTTCATCCTTTCTGGGTGGGGCATCTCCAGAGATAACCATATGCAATGGTCATCTTTTCTTTCCTTAAAAACGGACAAATTCTAAAAGAGTTATGTCTCCACTTACGTGCAGTCTGGGCTGAACTTGCACTTGAGGCCATACTTCTTATGAGCGGGAATCTTTGTCTTGGGATGGAGCTGCGAGAGGGCGCCGTCACCCTGACCCTGGGTGATCCTCCAGACGTAGCAGTTACCCTTGTTGTTGACGGCTGCCATATGGGTCGCCTCAGGGTCTATGGCTATCGACTGGATGGAGGAATTCTGCTCTGGAACCTGAATGAATCAATGCAAGAACGGAATGAATAAACGAAAGAGTGTACTGCATGCTTAGGAGCAGTGTTAAACACTTATTACACAAGAGCTCTTTTTGGATCCGATGGAATTTCCTTGAAATGACTTTAATTTCCTATGCTCTTTAGTCGCTTCACAGAGCTAAACTGCTCAAAGCTCCCATAAATACCTTTCTAAACCCCTCACGAGACTATCAGAATGACTGAATTGCTTGTTCAAATTTACATACCTGGAGTAAGCATCTCTATTCCCTATACACGGGAGTGCATCCTGGGCAATGTTTTTGCTTGTTCTTTGGGCTTCCTTCAGGGGGATTAATGCAGATAACGTGGCAATCATTTCAGTCAACAATGACATCCGGCTACAGGAATGTACAAATAGGTCATGAAGAAAAGCTAGATCAAATCAACCTTTCCATAGAAGAAAGCAACAGTAATTACTCTCTTAAGAATACATATTGACTCACCAGTTGTTCGTTATGGCAGCTCCGTAGATCCCATATGTGTACTGTCCCACTCTGGTCACCCACAATCAGCTCTCCCTGATGATGAAATCATAAAATAATAAATGTAAGCAAACATTAAGAACGTGAAATGTTATTAAATGTCATTAGTTGTGCCAGGGGAGGGGGAGGGGGAGGGAGGTCAAAATCAAAAGTTTCTCTCAAATCAAGATAGAGCAAATTATTTTGCTAATGCCCCCTGCAATAACAGACTTGACAAGAGATTCTATCTATATTTTGAGAAAGTATGAATTGAAGAAATAATAAGAAAGAGTTGTCATATTATTTTTTGTTTTCCAGTTAATTTCAAATCTGCTGTTCATTCCACTTTTACTTGTATATCACAACTGTCAGACACAATATAATAAAATCTTCTGATAGAGGTATATATAAAGCAAATAAGAAGATTTATAGAAATCATTGATACTATTTATTAGTGGAAAGGTAAAATAAAACAAACACCAATCAAAATCAGATTCATAGCTTTGCACTTACTTGGTTTGGATGTAGACAAGCACAGTTTACAGGGGCATTGACCTGAAAGATCTTCTGGCAATGTAAGTTATGTGCTCTGTAGATGGATTAAAAAAAAAATTATGATAATTTCCTGTAAAGTTGAACCCGCTTTAGCAGACACCATATGTACAACAAAAAACTTACTTCAAGGGCAAGATCACGCTGATATCATGCAGATTTAAGAGGGGATAAATAGAAACAAGTCAGTGAATTCGAGAGTTATCAGGTGACTAATGAGAAAGATTTTAAAAATGTGTTTACTTTGGGAATTCAGTCTTCATCTTCACAACTTCAAAACTAGAACAGTTACTAAAATCTTCAGCAGATTTGTCTGAAACCTTTATTTCTTATAATTTGACCTTTTCTGCATTTATTATTATTTCAATTTTTTAAATAAATCTATTTAAAATGAATTTGACGTCAATGCCGACGTCCCGTGTCTCATGTCTCCCTTTAAGCTAAAGCTAGGGTAATAATTTCCAAAGCTCTTTGAAAGCATATAGGGATGTTATATAATGTGACATGTGCTATAAAAGAACTGAGTAATATCATAAAGGGACATGAACGCTATGTCAGGCAGGGTTGGCATATTTCCCGCTTCGGAGGCTTATTTCCCGGACACCGGGAAATAAGCGGTATTTACCGGTATTTACCGCTTTTTACCGGTATTTACCACTTTTTACCGGGAAATATATTTTTCCACTCACTTGTTCATAAGGATTGTCCAATTTTGAACATAATAACAATGGTGGTGAGTATGGTTGCTCTTGTGTGTACTATTTGTGTGTGTGTGTGTGTGTTTGTTCGTGTGTTTGTCTATGTCTGTAATTATGTAATGCTGGAAAAAAATACAGGAAAAAGATACCAAATATACACCTAATCTAGATATGATGTTCTTCATTAAAGGGAACCAAAACCTTTATACTATGTTAATTTTATTGTAAAGTTCAAGATATTTAAATAAAATCAGTGAAAAATTGAACAAAATTGGGCAAGGAATAAGGAAGTTAAAGCTTTTTAAAATGACTAGTCACTACAGGACGATGTTCAATTTGATGACATCATTTGTGGACAACTCTCCATGCCTTTTGTACATCAAATTTCACAAGTCTTTCGTTTTTTTCCTATTTATTTGTGTTCTTGATTGGATTTCATAACATGCGAAGTAGAATATCATTTTGCATTCTATTATCTCAATCACAAGAAAGAAGGAAAAACATGAAATTTGATGTACAAAAGGCATGGAGAGTTGTCCACAAATGATGTCATCAACTTGAATATCGCCCTCTATTGACTAGTCATTTCAAAAAGCTTTAACTTCCTTATTCTTTGCCCGATTTTGTTCAAATTTTCACTGATTTGATTCAAATATCTTAAACTTTACAATAAAAGTAAGCATAACTTGTATGAAGGTTTTGGTTCCCAGTTGCTAATTACCATATTCATGAATACCTAATAATTAGCATATGCACAAAATGCCATTTGTTTGGGTGTGTACAATTTTGTATGCAGTGAGGATTTTATAAATCTGTTTGTGTGTTCCTACTATGAGTACTGTGCTGCTAATTATTTCAGAACAATATTTTCAGTTATGAGGCTATAAACAAGTAAAATTATTAATAAATAGAGAATTAAAATCATATTTCCCGTTTTTTACATATTTACCGCACGCACATCTTATTTACCGGACGGTATTTACCGGTATTTACCGCCGGTAATTACCGCCACTGGTATTTACCGCCCAACCCTGATGTCAGGGATCCAACCCACCTGAGGTCCCATATCCTTGCAGTGCAGTCCTCTCCTCCAGTGAACATCCATTTACCTTCCTCCTGGAACCCTACTGATGTCACGTTCTTAGGAATGCCCTCATAGTTGATGATTGGTGTCGTGTCCCCAGAGTTGATATCGTACATGCGGATATGCTGGTAACCTGAAAGCAAGTTTTAAAATAATATGATGGTACAGCGTGAATATTCATTAATGAATGATACACGCTAATAAAACTACAACAACTACAACAACATACACTCATTTTCAAATGAATATCAGATTATCAGCTACAATATATGATAAAGTCCTCTGATATAGGTATATTTTGTATTTAATTCATTTTCATATAAGGGTGAATTTTTAGTGACTCTAGATGCATCTGATCTTTCACAAAGATGCTTGTGGAATCGAATTGTAAAGAAGTAACATAAAACATAACCACAACTGCCACAGGAGAGAGATGAAATACTGTATCCAATTATCCATTAAACTCATAAACAAATCTCTAGGTTGAAGTATGAATTTCAGCCAAGCTTACATCATAAAATTTGCTCCAGGCAAATGGGACATCCATAAAATTTCATTGAGATATCTAAAATATGAAGCCCCCCTCTACCTCAGGCGCGGATCCAGGGGGGGGCCGAGCGGGCCTTGGCCCCCCCCCCCCCGCAAAAAAAAAAAAAAAAAAAAAGAGAGAAGAAAGGAAAAGAAGGGAAAGGGAAAGAGGAGAGAAGGGAAAGAAAGAAGAGAAAGAAAAAAAGAAAAGGGGGAAGAAGAAGATCAGGGGGTGGGGGTCGAAAGGGCCTTGCCTCCCAGGCTGTTGACCCCCCCCCCCCAATAAAAAAAAATAAGAGAGAAGGAAGGAAAGGGAAAGAAATGACATAATTCCGAGATTTTTCCTCACTTTTGAGTAAATACGTTTGTATGTGTTTGTTGGAGAATGACAAATTACTAAATTTACAGCCAGGCAAGAAATATGATTCTTGAGATTCCTACATGTCAGGCCCGAGGTGGGACGGGGATCGGGAGCCTCGAGCTCCCCCCCCCCCCCCCCACTTTTTTGAAAAAGTATATTAAAGAGAAATAAAATAGAATGAGAGCAAGAAAGAAACAATAGTTAACTGCCAGTGTTAAAAATTAATGAGGCATCTAAATATGCTCATCTGACTGTGATTAAATGCCTAGAACCCCTAAGCTCCCGGGGGCTCTGCCCCTGGATTCCACTTAGGACCCTACGGCGGGCCCTTAGATGCTCATCTGACGGTAATTTAATGCCTAAAACCCCTGATTTGGGGGGGGGGGGGCTTCGCCCCCTGGAACCCACCAGGGGCCCTAAGGCGAGCCCCTAAATGCTTGCGGGGTCGGCCAAGGTATCAAAATGTGTTTATCTGACCGCAGGCGCGTAGCCAGGGGGGGGGGCGGTCCCCCCAAATCGGAAGAGGACGTAGGAAGAAAAAAGAGCAGACAAAGAACACATTTAAAAAAGGATTAAGAGTATAGACAACGGTAAAACGCATCGTCTTCTTTCTCTAATAATTTAATGAAACGTCAAAGCTTCGCTCAGGAGGGGAGGGTCTTCTTTCTCTCATAATCTTGTGAAACGTCAAAGCTTCAGACGAGGATAAAGAGTCGAGAACTGTACAGCCAATCGTCTTCTTTCTCTCATAATCTTATGAAACTTGAAAGCTTCTTCGCGCGGGAGGGGGGGGGGATGAATTCAGACGAAGATTCAGGGCGAGAACGGTAATACGAATCTTTAATAAATTAATGAAACGTAAAAGCTTCCGCGCTTCGCGCGTGATGGAGGGGAAACTATATTCCGACGAGGATTATTTTTCGAGTACGGTACAACGAATCGTCTTCTTTCTCTAATGATTCAATGAAAATTAAAAACTTCCGCGCTTCGCGCGGGAAGGGGGGGGACCTGAATTTGGACGAGGATTAAGAGTCGAGAACTGTACAACGAATCGTCTTCTTTCGAATGATTTAATGAAACGTAAAAGCTTCCGCGCTTCGCGCGGGAGGGGGGGGGGAGGGACTGAATTCAGACGAGGATTAAGAGTCGAGAACGGTACAACGAATCGTCTTCTTTCTGTAATGACTTAATGAAACGTAAAAGCTTCCGCGCTTCGCGCGAGAGGGGGGGGGGAACCTGAATTCAGACGAGGATTAAGAGTCGAGAGCTCTCCAAAGAATCGTCTTCTTTCGAATGATTTAATGAAACGTAAAAGCTTCCGCGCTTAGCGCGGGAGGGGGGAACTGAATTCAGACGAGGATTAAGAGTCGAGAACTGTACAGCCAATCGTCTTCTTTCTCTCATAATCTTAATGGAACTTAAAAGCTTCCGCGCTTTGCGCGGGAAAGGGGGGGGGAACCTGAATTCGGACGAGGATTAAGAGTCGAGAACTGTACAACGAATCGTCTTCTTTCGAATGATTCGTGCGTGATGTAGGGGGAACTAAATTGCGACGAGGATTATTTTCGCGAACGGTATAAAGAATCGTCTTCTTTCTCTGATTCAATGAATCGTAAAAGCTTCCACGCTTCGCGCGGAAGGGGGAAAACAGATTTCAGGCGAGGATTAGAGTCGAAAACGGTACAACGAATCGTCTTCTTTCTCTAATGATTAAAGGAAACTTAAAAAGCTTCCGCGCGAAGCGCGGGAGGAGGGAACCTGAATTCAGACGAGGATTAAGAGTCGAGAACTCTCCAAAGAATCGTAATAATTTAATAAATCGTAAAATTTTCCGCGCTTTGCGCGGGAGGGGAAAAACTAAATTCAGACAAGAATTATTTTTGAGAACGGTACAACGAATCGTCTTATTTCTCTAATAATTTAATGAAACTTCAAAACTTCCGCGTTCGTGGAGGAGGGAGGGGGAAACTCGCCCCTCCCTGCATCGAACCCCCCCCCCCCCCGCATTACGTCACTGTTGGTCACCATTACGTACCAATATTTGGCTCGCATAATTTCAAATTTGGGCCCCCCCCCCCCTAAAAAAAAATTGTGAAGTAAAAAATGACTGATTTTGTTTATCAACAAACATGGACTTACAGGTATTTATATATTCATAAATTTGGGCACTCTGTTTAAAAGGCGACAAACACATTGGCTGACACTGTAGGCCTACTGTCTATTTCTAATTACTATGATACGCCTACGGATGATTACATTACATGCACAAGGAAAACAAAATTGTGGAAATGTACAAGGAGAATAAGAGATAAACTGGAAATCAATTCATAATGGAAATATGAAACCAAAACAATGAATTATGACTAACCTGCAGCAGCTAATAGACTCCTGTCTGGGGTGATTTCCAAGTGATTGACTTGCTGCAAGTTAGCAAAAAGAAAACAATAATGACTTTAAAGCCCCACTGTACTACTTGCAGCTACTTGCTCCCTCTAACTATCATGTCTATACATAGGGAGGCCAATGCCCAAATCTAACTTTTTAATTACTAATTTGTTTATACTAAAACTAAGATTAAAAGAAAGCATTTACTTTCACTAAGAAAATCCACCCATCTGCCGACTCCAGAAGTTCCATCAAATAGGAGATATCCAGCTAGTTCCTATGAGCTTCCTTCTACGCCTTTCCGTACGTAAGAGCCTTGAAACAATTATATTTCATGTCGCAGAGTTACGTTCATAATTAGACAGGCCCGAGGGACAAAGTTCATGATGAAGTTTAAAACTTCGCGCGAAAGTGCAATCACTCAACAGCGGCTAGCCTTGAATCGGTCGCACACGTACCTTCTTCTTCTTAGTTGATCCCTCCACCGACACAGGCAAGCCCCGATGCAGGCTGAAGTCCAGCCATCAATGTGCGAACGATTACATCTTCTACTACTACGAGCCGAAGACGATGGTTCAAAAATGATGAATAGATTTCAAAATTGGCAGGAAAGAAATATTTATAATTCATTGATATTTACCTTAGATGTGTATTCCAATAATTTGATTTCCTCATGAGTATTCCTTATTATCAACGATCGAGAAGTTACGAGGTCCAATTAACATCCATCTTGCAGCGAACACAATCATAGCGCACATCCATGCATGCAACGTACGTGTACTAATATTTCTCTCACTCTCTCTCTCTCTCTCTCTCCCTTTCGCTATACGTAACATACACACTCACTAACCATGTATCATACAACACACACCTTCAAATCATGGCTTTCATTTCAATTCTCAATTGGAGTATAGACTGCTCACGTAGACTTTTTTTTTACTGAAATATCTTTTTTAACACTTCTCATACATTACTGCACGACACTCGTATCTAGTGCTGTGAGAATAAGGTACTAGGGTCTATAAATAAGACTACGCTTTGCGCACGATCTGACCGGAGCTCAGATTATGTCGCAATACCCTTTATTTTTGGCGCGAACAATGACGTCACTGTTCACTGTTTTCCTTCTCATTTTGAGATGGATGTACCTATAGGGCTCAAACCAACGCAAGATTGACAGAAACATCGTACTCTATCTACTTTCGAATGTTCAGTTTGTAAAAATCTGTATGTAAAAAGATATAATCTTTTTTCTTTATATTTTCTAGTTGTTAGAAGTGGCAATTGTGAACATCTGAAATGTTGATCTCTATCAAAAGTTCTTTACTCAAAACGGATCCCATATTTTTAGGGTCTACCTTCTGCCAATGAGAAGGTTTTTAGTGAGCAAACCTCTACGCCCTCTAGGATTTTCTTAGTCGGTGGTGCGAGTGCGTCAAGGTCGTCTGCAACCACAATTATTGGATTAAAAAACGTCAAAATCTGCAAGATTGTCAACAAATGGTGAAAGACTGTTACAGATCCGTGATTATAGGTATGTTGTGAAATGTATAATTGTATTTTCTTTTCTTATTTTCTTCAATTTTTATTTTTACATCATTTTTTTCCCTTTGCTAATTTTTTTAAGTGGGCGACGAGCGCACAAATCGTAGGTGTAGAAGCCTTACGCCCGGGCATTGGCCTCCCTACTATACAGCAACAACGCCTAATCTAAGCAGTACGCATTGATCCCCCATGAGTTTAACTTTAAAGACAAAGTATGATTGTTGAAACGTGACTTGAATACTTGGTTATAACTTTAAAATTACATGTTGACTGACAAATGTACAACTAGATCTAGAGTCTAGATCTAGTACTGGATCTAGAACAACAACTAACTACCTTTCACATCCACATTTTACTAGTCACAGTATTGGTTTGGCATTATTAGCAGACCCCTTTCCACTTCTCTCTCTCTCCCTCTCCCAATTTTAGTTTATAGAGCCAAGTCTAGGTCTACATAATCTATTCTATAACAATAACATTCTACAAAAATTCCTGTTTTTCATCACAATTAGACTGCTAAATTGTGTTTTGAACATTCATCATGACAAAAGACTAAACAAGATTGATATAGATCTAGACTATTATTTGTTATTTAATGAGCATGACTGTGCCAACACACACTGGCATTGTCATTGCGCGACCCCTCCCCTCTAGAGTCTTCTCTGTATTTAGTGACCGATTATAACCTTAATAAAACGTCCCATACAAATCGTACACAACAACGCAATTTGTTTTAAAAAAATACTGACCGATTCTTGATGCTGGACAGTGCGGTGGCAGATACCCGTATGTGCGTGCCAGAAACGAATGGTTTGGTCATAGCCAGCAGTAGCAAGGATAATTTGATCGCTAGGATTTCCCATTATTGTGCAAAAGCCGGCAAATTAAGAAACTCCAAATCTATATCTAGGCCCTAGACAGAAATACAAATTGTAAAGCTCTGCTGTGTTGTTGGTTGTTTTGTTGAACTTCCGGGTGGGGGATTAATATTTGATGCAACATAACCCTTCTCGTTAAAGTTGAATGGTTCCTGCCGTGCATTGTTGGTGATATAAAATGAGCACCAGTCTTTTGTTTGTAAACATTTTTGCACGCGCTGTGCGCGGCGCTAGCGATGGATCCTTGAGACTATAGCACTATATAGACGCGACGTACTACTGTACTCGCGATCGCTCGCAAAATCTGTACGGAGCTAGTTTAGTTGACGGTGCAGTATCTAATTCTAAAGATTGGTTGGCGGTCTATTCTAGCTTTAGCTCCTTTGTGTTGTGAAAGAGAAAATCAACACAATCGGCAACCGTTATTAACGGGTAAGTTGAGCCATCATGTATGAAAAGCTTGACTCCATGAGCTGGACGCGACAATCTGAGCTCTTTCACTCAGCCTCTAATTACTGCACTCTCAGTCTCGGTATCATCATACTAGGAGTCCAGCTTCCAGGGCCTGCTCTGACTCTGAGCTGTGGAGGGATGACATCTTTCATCCGGGCGCGGCGCGGAGATCGGAGCGCAGCACACGACATGACGCGACATCACTACCAAACCACGACCAAACCACGTGCTGTAACTATAACCAGAACTAAATCAACTGTTCATGCTGCAGTCGCGTATGATCTATTTTGTTTTTCTTTTGACTGTGTTGATGTTGTTTGTCTTGTGTTGTGTTTGGTTGCTTTGATTGTTTAAAAGTTTTTGTCTGGTTGGACTTGGGAGGATATTTCCTCAAAATCTTGCTCTCCGCAGAAACGCGCGTCAAGCCCATCCCACGCCAAGCCCAATTCAATTGCCTACCAATTTATTGAACTTAAATTTCTATCATCCAGGCGCGTAGCCAGGGGGGGGCGGTGGGGGCGGTCGCCCCCCCCAAAACGCCGGCCAAAAAAAAAAGAGAGAGAGAAAGAGAAGAAAAAAAAGAAAGAGGACGTAGGAAGAAAAAGAGAAAAGGAGTCGAGAACGGTACAATGAATCGTCAAAGCTTCCGCGCTTCGCGCGGGAAGGGGAAACTGAGTTCAAATTAAGAAATATTAGTCGGGAAAGGTACAACGAATCGTCTTCTTTCTCTAATAATTTAATGAAACGTCAAAGCTTCGCGCGAGAGGGGGGGGGGGGGAAACAGAATTCAGACAAGGATTATGAGTCGAGAAAGGTACAACGAATCGTCTTCTTTCAAAGCTTCCGCGCTTCGCGCGGGAGGGGGGAAATTCCCCCCTCCCTGCACCCACCCCCCTAGGGAGCGCGCTTCGCGCGCTCTTTAAGTGATTCGCACGCTTCGCGTGCTCACTACCGCCCCCCCTAAAATGAAATCCTGGCTACGCGCTTGCTATCATCTGATCATATCTGTGTAGACTAGGGTCTACGGTACGTAGACGGTGACCCACAACATGTTTCCTTTTGCCAAATTTGTGTCAAAATGCAACAAATAAGATGCAAGGTATGAATATCAATATGTGGCAAATTGTATCAAACTTTGAAATCATTTTCTAAACTGTAAACATGACATGGTCATGGAATAGTTTATGCTTTGAAAATATTTCATATTAGAATGAAGCAAAACAAAACAAAACAACAAAAAGTATATAGTCTAGACCTAGGTTCTAGATTAAGGCCTTCATGATTAGGTCTTGCACCTCCAGTTAAAATTCAGATGAGGGAAAACCCAGACAAGTATTTTGGAGGACCAACCAACAAAGTAGGCCTACCCAGTCAAGATTCAACATTTTTGCATTGGTCATTAGTTAGTCATTACTTTGTAAGCTTTGTACGATAAACTCTGTAAAGAGGTAGACTATGTACTCTAAAATAAATGGAAGTAGAAGAAGAAAGGGGAGGCTGATAAACTTGGGATAAGAATATTATGAATATGAAGTAAAGGAGATGCGATTGTTCGAACAGAAATTAACAACTGCATTATTTACTTGATATACATGTGTATGTAGTTGTAAGCACCTCTGTGATCTCTCCCATTCGCTGTGTATGAAAAAAAATATGTTATTATACCCATGCTTCACCCTAGACTCCGGAGTTTTGCAGATATATTTTTATACAACCCTTTGTGGAACAGTATTCCTTCATCTGCAACCAAGAAATAGAAATTCATTACAAAAATTCAGGAGAAGTGTTTGAAAGGTTCATAGATTTGCAACTTGACAAAATCTTGATTTCAAGTTGGAAAATTGATCATAGACCAATACTTATTTGTTAAAATTTGATTCACTTAAAACTGTCACTTCTCTTGTTTTTCTGCTTGAATTGGTAGGTATCTGCAAGGTAGCAGTAATAGCTACTGGAGAGTGGAGATTCAGAATTGATACAAGATGGCCTCACAGAATATCACCTACGGAGTGCCGTCTCGGGCCCTCCCAATGCCAAATAAATACCACAGGTAAGTGAGATGTGCAACTAAGTGGTGACTGACAGATTTGTTGGAATTCATATCAACATTGCAGAAGGAGGTTGAGGATAGTGATGATGATGGTGATTGTGAAGGAGGTGGTGGTGATGATGATGATGATGATGGTGGTGGTGGCGATGATGGTGGTGATGATGATGGTGATGATGAAATTGATGATGGTGGTGATGATGGTGGTGGTGGTGTTGATGATGGTAATAATGATGATGATGGTTATAATAATATGGTCATAATAATCATGGTGATGATGGTGATTGATGATGATGATACTTGAAATAAGTGCTATACCAGACTCTACTTTTATATTATTATTATGTCATTTAGACTTGTTCACTTGGATCTGAAAGGAGCTCCACCCAAGATGGATTATCTTTTGAAGGTGGGTGAATCAGGTCTTCATTTGTGAATTTAAGCACTATGGGCACTCTGTTTACCTGCTTCCCCTAACTTGCCACTATTGTAGTTCCAAAGAATTGTTTGAATTATAAAGTGTCCTCCAAATTAATAAAACCATACCAAAACATACCCCGTAATATACAGGTCCCCTTTTCCGATAATCATTAACAAGTCGTCAAACACAAAATAACCTTTTATCTTGACCTGAACTTGACCTTCAAATCAGTACTTTTTAGGAGCAAACCTATAATAGAGCACCCTGCCAAAAAGAAAACATAAGCATTCTGAGTGAATAGCCCCCCCCCCCCCCATAGACCCATTATCTGGACTTGTTCACACCCAGTCTAAATTTATGGCACTACACAAGTATTGTTTGTTCTGTAGAATAATCAAATATTATGAGTAATGATAATCCTGAATGTAGACCTTGATAAAGATGTTTATGACATAGGTCGGTTACGTGTTGGTGCAAAGCTCATATTTAATAATGTCTGATCACTCATGATGAACATTGCAAGAAACTGGTATTTCTTAGGTATATTGTGAAGCCATTTGCAAGAGTTGGCTGGCTGTATCTCTTTGCACTTTTTGTTAGAGATATGTCACAGAATTAAAGAATATTGATACTCGAGTATTCCTTGGGACACACTCATGTGAGTCCACTCTCTTTGTAAAGATAAAGTTGAGTTCTGGTCATGCTAATCGTGGAATAAACTGTGTGGAATTTGTGGAAGCTTGATCATAAGTTTTGGTTTATACTGTGATGTAGAATCATTATGGTGTAGATTCATAACATTTAACTATTACACATTGTCTTATTCTGAATATACGGGCATTTGAGGAGCCATTTTTTTCTATTGTACTCTTCCACACTTACATGGTAGTGTTTTAACATTCTCCCTTTCTCTCTCTCTCTCTATCCCTCAATCCCTCGATCTGTCTATCTCACAACCACACAACTTTTTTCCCTCTTCTCTTTTCTCCCCCCCCCCCCCCTCCCACATAAACATCTGACCACAAATCCTTGGGTTAGGATTGATGCTCCTTCTACTCACTATCCTCATCCCCCACCCAAGCCGTAAAAACATGATACTTAGCTGGGTCATAAATCTAAACATGCAGACATGCAGTCTAGCCTTTCTGTCTCATGGTCAGATTCAGTAAATGCCTCTTTGTTCTTCCTATTCTCATCTGCACATTTTCCTCCTTGGGACTCTCAACTTTTTCTTGCTGCTCTGTACGATCTGACATACAGTATTTGTACAATAAATAATCAGAATTTTAAAGGCAGGCTTTACTTCAGCTATAAGGGATTAGACCACCCAGCGAGCCAGCGAGGTCACTGTGACAGGTGGCTATCTCATAAACTCAGCTCTCATTTAACATTAGAAAAAGAGGATCATGGGGGACCAACAGGCACCGATTAGGGAAGTTTTATATATAGAGGAAGCAAGTAGCTACATGTAGGACAGTGGGCCTTTAACTTTATAAACGAGTCAAACGACATTGTGTTATTTTGTTATTTTTTCACCTACTCCTCTCATTAATTTAATCGTAACAGGGTTGTTTGTAAGTACAATAATCAGCACAATCATTGTTTCTGTTTCTACTTCCTTGATTAACAAAGCAAAGAAAGAATGAAAAAGCTCACAAATTATTTGTCACCTTTCAGAGAACTCAACCATCTCTTTAAAGGTAAAACAAAGTCTTGGTATGGGGTCATGAATTTGGTTAAAATGAACATATTGGAAACATACGCGATCCTACAATATTTAGTGATCGTTGTTGCAGTTGAAATCGAGTCTGAAGTGATGAAATTGTAAATAATAAAGTCTTTATGTTGTATAGCTCCCTCTCATGGTCAAGATATTAATTTAGCTTTAGAACAATGTTTCTTGACTAAAATCGACCGATTTGCTATTCCCGTTTAGAAATTATATACCACAACTGCATATTCTGAGATTTTCATGGTCGCAGCTACTATTGGATGGCCGTAGGGGCTATTTGAAATTTATCAAAATTTACCAGGAGCACCGGTAAATCTTTATATTCAATTTTTCTCGAAAGCAGAAGTTTTTTAGGGGCTAATTTTTCTAGTGCTTATAATTCATCCTCAGAGGCATCCAAATATATCACAATTTTAAAGAATCGCTATCCGGCCATTTTCAAAATTTCCCAAAACTTTGTAATACCTTTAATCTGTGTTTGATATGTACAGGTGTTACCCCTGTTCAAGGAATGGGGTGCCACTGGGCTTCTGGTGGAGTATGAGGACACCTTCCCATACTCGGGAGAGCTAGAGGTACTCCAGAAAGGTGAGGAGGTTTACAGGTAGGTCATAAACCTTGAACCCTGAACTTTGAACCTTGGATCATCTGCTGAAATGCTACCTTAGCTAACTATGAAATGTCTTCTTGATTTTGAAAAAAACAATTTTCTGTATACCATGTAAGAATGCTATGGAAATTTGATTATTTTAGATTAAAAATGTATCTTATTTGTCTTCTTGTGTGTTATCAACTAAATCTGTGTAGAAGAGAGTCTTGATTTTTATGAATGTTATTTCCTTGATATGTTACTCCTACACACATGGTTTTAACCTGAATAATACATTTTTTTAAAGGGTTAAAAAGATAAGGAAATAATAGAGATTTGATAACCCTAAATATTCGAGTTTGGTTAACAATCGCTTCTGAATGCTATTTTGTTTCCTATTCCCTTCATTCCTCGCTCCCACCCACCCCCTCCCTCTCTCTCTCTCTCTCTCTCTCTCTCTCTCTCTCTCTCTCACTGAATACCTGAATACCTGAATACTGTGCTTTTAGCCTTAGAATACCTAGAAAGTATTTGAAAGTTGACATTCACTTCGTAATTATATTCTCAATTACACAGTTTGGCAGATGTAGCCACTCTCCAACAAACAGCTAGAAATCTTGGTCTGGAATACATTCCTCTTATTCAGACATTTGGTCATTTAGAGGTAGGTCTAACATTCATTTTTTTATTTTATAGAATATCTTCCCATGGAATCCTACAAAGAACACAGTATTAATTTCATCTAATCATCTCTCTCTCTCATCCTCTCTCTCTCTCTCTCTCATCCTCTCTCTCTCTCTCTCTCTCTCATCCTCTCATCCTCTCTCTCTCTCTCTCTCTCTCTCTCATCCTCTCTCTCTCTCTCTCTCTCACCCTCTCTCTCTCATCCACTCTCTCTCTCTCACCCTCTCTCTCTCTCTCACCTTCTCTCTCACCCTCTCTCTCTCACCCTCTCTCTTTCTCTCCATTTCTCTCCCTCTCTCTCTGTCTTTCTCTCTCTCTCTCTCTCTCTCTCTGTCTCTGTCTTTCTCTCTCTCTCTTCGTCTGTCATCATAAGTGCATTTATAATGGATAATTTAGTTGCTGTAATTGTAAGAAAAAAACTTGTAGATCGTCAGTTCATCTCTAGTTCCGATGAGATTTGGTTGTCATTGTCCTCACTAACTGATTTTATGCAAATACTGAAAGCAGATGTACATGTATCTCAAGCTTTCAACGTTTGAAGTATGTGATATGCTGCTTTACCCTCGGCAATGATGTAACTCTAGTAGGCAATGATACAATGCATACAAAATACATCCATAGTGCACAGGAGAAACCGTTCACACCTAAGTACTGGAATTCGTACAAATCTGAAGATGTAACAGTGATGTAGCTCATAAAACCTTACACGATGTTACATGTATTTGGCACAGTGATTTCAATAAAACACTGACCATTTATCTGTGTACATGTGATTACCACTAGTCAATACACTTGGTTCCTTTCTTGTCAATTTTTTTAAGACTGTCATATGTTAAGGCGATATGCAAGAACTATGTCAGTGGGCTTTTCCATTCAATTTTTGTGTGAAACAAATACAATGTAAAATCTTCTAAAGATCATCAGATATAGAATTTATATCAAATTCTTGTTTATGGCAAGTTATTGGGAAATATTTGTAAAAAATGGGCTTAAAATGCTATTGATCAAGGCCCTGTGATATAACAGTTACGATTGATTCAAATTAATAGGCCATTTACGTAATGTAACCAAATTTAATACATTAGTCTCTGTGAAGTGCCTCAATACAAAGTATTTCATTCACCTGATAGGAATAATAGTATTTCAATAGTCAGAATGCAAACTGCATATATTATGTGTTGCTAGGTAGGTCAAGCCATAAGGTTTGTCCCACCTGGCAACAACTAATGTATGCAGTTTGGATTCCATCTATTGAAATACTATTATTCTTATCGGGTGAATGAAATAATTTGTATTGAGGCACTTCACAAAGACTAATGCATTGAATTTGGTTACATTACGAAAATAGCCTATTGTAACTTTACTAAAGAAATGGTGAGTTTGCAGTTGATTGGAAGACTTTCAAGGAATTTGGATCAGTGGCAACTCTTATAACATACGGTGCTTGACTTGCTTTGTAAGCCTTTCGTAAGCCATGAGGTTTTAAAGAGAGAGTGTTTCTGTTTGGCTTTCAGTTTGTCTTGAAGCATTCACAGTTCAGTCATCTGAGAGAAGACCCAGAGGACAGGAGGAGTTTATGCCCATCTAATCCTGGTAAGTCTTTCACATTTTCAAACGTTGTCCAGAAATCCACATTATTAGGTATGTCATCATCAGCTCGAGATTGCCAAATAGCCCGCTATTTCTGATTTGGGAATTACGCCAGTAGTTACAAACCTCGTCTTCATCAGCTAGAGACTCGACCTCGAAACTTGAGCTTATTTCTCGATATTTTGCTCAGCGTTCGCGCATAGTGCAAGTCTTCAGGCTGGTGAAGATGCACCAGACAAATAGCAGGATATTTTGCAAACTAGCCCAAGATATCTTGGGATGATTACCTTGACCAAATATCCCGCTAATTGCAACTGCGGGCTGATGAAGACGCAAATTAGCTGGATAATTTGCGATTGGGATAGTTAAAATAGCGGGTCATTTGGCAATCTCGAGCTGATGAAGACAGGCCTTGTGTTGTTGGATGTTGATGTAGTTCTGTCTTAGGGTGATTGCTCTTCATCTAAGTTTCAATTTCTATTTCTATTTCAATGTATACAACAAACATAATTCATTATCATTGTATGTGTGGGTGGATTATCTGCACTTATAATGCTCAGATAAGATGCTAGGATAAGTGGAGGAATAATCACAAAAATATAATAGTGAAGAAAAGGAAAACGCCCTTCCGAAGTCAATATGGTACAGTATTGGAGATGTTTATCTGGAATTCTGAAAATAGTAATCGTGGGTGGACTATCTCGGTGTACAATCATCTGTAGTGTAGAGATGGGTCACAAATTTATTTCAATTTTATGATTATCTTAATCAGTTTCCATTTGGTGTGCCCTGGACAGAAAATTTCAGGAAGGCTGTTGATGTATGAAAAGAAACAATACCGAACATAGAATGAATGAAATAGTAATTATGTGTATTGATTTGAAGAGATTAAAAATCAATAGGCTTCAATGGTGAGAGTGTTGGAAGTTAGTAGCAGGGAAGCAGGGACTCTTACTTTGAACAGTAGCTCCTGAATTTTTGAAATAAATAATGAAAAGTTTTGCAGAAAAATAAACGATAAAAAGGAAAAGAAAAGAACAAAACAATGAGTCAAACTACAGGTGAGATAGAATTTTGATGTGCAGCATGAGATGATTTATTTCAGATCAGGTAAAAATGATATAGAATCTTGTCCGATTTTATTTATGGTCAAAGAGCTTGCACATGGCTCGCCCATCATTCCAAGAAGTAAGGTTCTGCTTAATAACAGATACCAACATTTGATAAAGGTATATACAGTCAAACCTGCTTTAGTGACCACCTGTCTACAGAGACCACATTTGTTGTTTCCCTTGAAAATGGTTTCTCATTGAAACATGCCCTGAAGTAACCTATCTACAAAGGCCACTTTTTGTGTTTCCCTTGGGCGATCGCTTTAGACAGGTTTGACAGTATAACAACAAGTTGTTGTTTTTCTGTTCAGCCACACAACAGATTTGTTGATGTGGTTGATGTACTCATTCATTCTGAAGAAATTCATCTTGCTTGTCATACTAATTGTTATTTTTCTTGTTTCAGAATCGATAGTGTTAGTCCGATCTATGATTGACCAAGTCATGACGCAACACCCAAACCTGAAATACTTTCACATAGGTGCTGATGAGGTGAGCATTGTTTTGGTCACTTTTGTGTCTATTGTATCTGATTAACAAGCACAATTAAATGCAGGATTTTTGCTTATGTTTTGGTGATATTATAATTCATGCAAATCATATTCATAAATATGCATTTTTAATTTGACTGACACAAATGGCGTTGAAATAAATTTTTGTGCCTTTTTTCCACTCTTGAGAATGATTATAGTGATTAAATTTTACTGGATTGTGATTTTTATTGTATTAAATTATTCCTCTTCTTTATATTTTTCATTTAATATGGTTCCACTGTTTGAAGATGAAATGTAATTCTTTTGGTATTTATAATGAATTGTACAAAATAAAGCTGGGGAAGCCTCTCTCTTTCATCTTACTCTGTGACTAATCTATTCTTTATTGTTTGTCTCTCTGTTATTCTGTATCTCTCTTTCTCCCTCTCTTTCTCTCTCTCTCTCTCTCTCTCTCATTCTCTCCCTCATTCTCTCCCTCTTTCTCTCTCTTTCTCTCTCATTCTCTCCCTCTTTCTCTCTCTCTTTCTCTCTCATTCTCTCCCTCTTCACCTCTCTCTATCTCTGTTTTGTCTGTCTATCTCTCTTTCCATCTGAATGGCTGTTTGTGCCCTTCCCCTCCCTTTCTCTCCCCCCCCCCTCTTGTCTCTCTGTAACTCTCTCTTCCCTCTCTCTTCCCTCCCTCTTCCCTCCCTCTTCCCGCCATCTTTCTTCTCCTGCCTACCCTCGCCCTCTCGCTCCAGGTATGGATGAAGAAGAGATGTGCCAGGTGCTGTGAGCGGATCAGAGACAGCTTCCATGGAGAGCCTGTTGGTCTGTTTGTAAGTCACGCCAAGGCTGTGCTGCTCTACCTCAAGGAGACATACCCCCACGTCAGAGCGATCATGTGGGACGACATGCTACGCAATGCCAAGTATGACTTCATCAAAGGTGAGTCTCCTACTCGTTCATTCATTCATTTGTTATCAAAATTTATAGTTGCATTTAATTTTCAGCATGACAAAGGCCTGTCCTATTCAGCTCGAGTTTGTCAAATAACCCGCTATTTTAACTGTCCAGATCGCAAATTAGCCAGTTAATTTGCGTCTTCATCAGCCCACAGTTGCAATTAGCTATTTGGTCGAGAAAAAATCCCGAGAAATCTTGGTCTTGTCTTGTGCCCGTCCGAGCTAGTTTGTGATGAGCGTATAGGTCTGGTAAAGACAAAATATCGAGCTTCGGGATAATATCCGGAGTCTGAAAAATAGCGGGTTATTTGGCAAACTCAAGCTGATGAAGACAGGCCTAATAAGTATACCTTTTAAGGCCGTGCACAACAGTGTAATGAGGTACCTGAGTATACTCCCAGGCTTAGAAGCGAATACTCGAGTATTCGGATGCCATGCTTTTTTATAATTTTTTTGAATTTTTTTGATTTTTTTTTGATTTTTTAAAATTAAAAAAAAATTTTTTTTTTGCCACCACCATACCACTGGGGCAGTATCTCACGTCGCCGAAAATGCATGCAATTTTACTTTGAGTTGCAGTTGAAGGCGCTGATTTAATAATAATAATAATAACAGTAAACAATGCTGTTTTAAAAACCAAAGATGGCAGAATAATCCATTTTCCAAACAGAAATCCAGACATTTGGTCCCAGTTTCTGAGTGGTGAGTTTGACAGTGCTTGAGTTGGGAAGCATTTTTACCGACGGCACCATGCCAGCGGCCTGGTTGTCAACTGTGCGGGTACTCGAGCATTTGACTACACGTAGCAGCCCTAATACCTTTGGTTAATGAATCCAACAAATAACAAGTGCTAGTCAAGGTTGGCCCCCGTTCAATACACCATAATTTAAGACAGTGAATCAATCACTAAGAGTAAGCATTGGATCGTAAGAAGTATTTTGGCTTGCACTAAGGTTTATACAATTTTGTTATGAAATACATAGGTCAAATAATTATATAACTCCAAAATATATACACTATGTATATTGAAATTATTTACACAACCTGATTGATATATCGTGTACAATTTTTACAACAAATGAATCAATAACAAAAAGTAATTAAATTGTATTCTTCAATAAGATGTATTTTTAATATTTGTCTTCATTCAAATTTAGAGACCAAAAAAGAAAGGGCTAGTCCTTGGTCATTTGATCACTCAAAACTCATATTAGTTTCTTACACACACTTAAATGGCTTTACATCTATCACAGTTTAAAAAATGGCATTTTAAATGATGAAGAATGTACATCTTCTTTTTAGATTCTAATTTGCACGAGCTTGTTGATATCATGGTTTGGAATTACCTGGATACGTCTGAGAACTTTCACAGGAATACACCCGAGACGGTCTGGCAACTCTACGGCAAGGTCTTCGAGAATGTCTGGATCGCTTCCGCTTTCAAAGGTATGATTTTACTCTTAACCCTATATAGCCCCGGCTATTTTGAAACTGCATAGCCCGGGGGGGGGGGGGGGGTTCTGTGATCTCGGCCTAGAAAAATGAGATTTCCATATGTTTTGTACACAAATCACAAAAATGAGCGATTTTCGCGTTAAAAAATTATCGCAAATAATGTCGAGGGGGGGCTCTTATGTGATACATAGAGCTGGGAGTTTGAAAATTCTCATGTGTTTCTTTGTTGTTCTATCTCCAAGGTGCTTTTGGGCCATCGCTGTTCCTGACACCGGAGTTGGAACACATAAGGAACCAGGAGCTGTGGGCCGGAGACCTGTCCCGTACCATCCCCAAACACCTCGATTTCAAGGGAATAGTATTCACCGGGTGGCAGAGGTAAGCGGAAAGGGAGTCAGTGTTTTAGGTCATAGGATGAGGGAGGGAAAGAAGAAGAAGTAATCAAAGTAGGGGGGGGGGGGAGGGGAAAAGAAAAGATGGAAGGGGAATAGGAGAGAGTGAAGGGGAAAATGAGAGAATGAAGGGAAATAAGATAGAGGGAAAAAGGACAAATGAAAATATGAATTATGTACGTGACACCAAGGACAAAGACAATATATTTATTTTGTATTTCGTTGTACACCAAGGTACACCCATGAAACGGTCTTGTGTGAGCTGTTGCCCGTTGGACTGCCTTCACTTGCATTCTGTCTACAAACTTTCATGCAAGGTAAATCAATCAGTAAGATATTTCATCTTGAGCACGAGTATATAGAAGTAAAATTACTCTATTGTGCTTACTTTCTGCATATCTTTCAATGTTTTGTTTTACCAAACACTTATTTTGTTTTCCAATTGTTCTTCCGGCATTTGTTTTGCTTCAGGACCTAGATATTGGCACTCTACAAATGCCTGGATTGGATTGGATCTTCGATAACTAAAGAATAGCTCTATTGGGAGCAATTAATGCCTTGATTTTGACAAGAAAATTCCTATTAGCTAAACCATGATTATTGAAAAGCTTTCTTAAATAGAATCATACGAATACAGTAAAGTTCTGTTTGTTTGCTTCCATACAAACCAATTTGTCTTTATGTTTCGATGTAATTCTTGTTACCCTCTATACCTCTTCTGTTTGTGTTCTTGACAGGCCATTTTAGCGAGGAGTTACATCAAAGTATATCACAAAGGCTTGGTTTCCCGGGGCTTCTAGGCTTGGAGATAGAAACCAACCTGCCATTATCTGAGTATGTAATACTTTTTCTTTGTTTGAATTTCTGCATATAAATAATAATAATAATAATAATAGTAATAGCCTAATAGTCCCCTCTAAATTTTATTAAACCGAAACGGAAATTCTTTTTGCCCAATTGATCGTGAGCCCGGCAGCCACTGAGCAGCGCCAGATCAACGTTGCTCTATCCCTTATATGTAACTCTTTCATGAAATTGTACAATGAGTGCAAAAGAATTTTTTTAAAGTGTGAAAGGCAATGATAGTACTGTATTATTCAAGTCATTCTCACAAGTATAGAGTCTGGATCTTTTATTGCTGGAGCATGTTTTCATTGTGTACTAATTTGTTTGTTTTTTGTACAGGATGCCTGTGGGTGTACCAATGGGCACATTTCCCGGTTGTGAGATGTACATGTGTGCCAGGCAGCTGGCTACCATCCAGTCGTCAAGAGAGGGACAAAAGTTTTTCAAGCTCACAAGGTAAGCATCTTTTCATGTTTCCTTTTATCTCAGAAGTTTTGAATCGTAAATTTGTATTTGATGCTACTTTCTAAAATAATACAGTATCGTAGCTGCCAACCATTCCTATTTTTTGGTCTTCAAGCTATTTTTTTTAACCCTAGATTTCTGTCTTTTTCTCAAAAATTCTGTGTACATACAAGGTTGGCTGGTATGCAGTATACCGGCCTTTCTTCAAAATCATGTAACTTCCATTTAAGTTCCCAAATTAGTCACAAATGTATCCAATGATCAAAGGATTTGCAATTGTTTAACACCCCACTCGTATCAATAGGCCTGTCACTAGATCGACAACAAAATGATAAAGGAATTAAATTACTACTGTAACATCACGGATATCTCCAATTCCATTTAACCGCCAGTCAAAAATGGACGGTTTTCGGTTAAACGATTTAAAAAAAAAAAGGAATCTGCCATGGGCGGTCGGATACCGGACGGTTAAACGTTTGACTACAGCACTAAATTAAATCACCCCGAATGCCCAAGAGTCAGAAGGAAGGAAGGAAGGAAATTGGAAAGACTTAGTAAGGCTTATAATAAATATAATCAAATCTACCGAAACGCTTATACATGCATTTATTACATGCCGTCTTGATCAATGCAATAGCTTTCTTTATGGCCTTCCGGACTCGCACATTGCAAAACTCTGTTGCCAGGCTTGTAACACGCACACGTTCTTGTGAACACATCACCCCAGTACTTCGCGAATTGCATTGGTTGCCGGTGACGTACCGCATTATGTACAAAATCTTAGTTTTAACTTATAACTGCATCATGAATTGGCACCAATTTATCTGCAAGAATTAATCAAGGAATACAAACCCTCACGCAGTTTACGGTCATCTTCACAATTAAACCTGTATCTACTTCTGTGTCAACTCTTTCTTATGGTAATCGCTCCTTTCCCAAAGCTTCTGCTGAACTTTGGAACAGATTACCTTTAAATGTAAAAAACTGTCAAACTGTTAACCTATTCAAAACTAGTCTCAAGACACATTTATTTAAAATAGCGTTCAATGATTAATTAACTCTGTTCACTTTGACGTGTATTCCATATGTATTGTAATTTGTATGTTTATTTGCATTTTTAGTTTTGTATAAGATGTAATTGTATATCAGTCTATTTTGTGTGTATAGCGCTTAGAGACTTCGGTAGTAAGCGCTTTATAAGTAACGTTGTTATTATTATTATTATTATTATATTGTATCCACTTACATTGTACAAACAATTTTAAACAAGCGTAAGAAAACCAATATGTATATTTCTTGTTGGAGACTTTTCAGTACCTTTGTGGATAAAGAATTGACCGGCATAGTCTTTAGAAAAGCCTGGCTTGAATCTGTGAATGTAAAAGAAAACTCCTATAAAGTTCCATGTAAAGATATGGAAGACGACTGATTAGGGGATAAAATATTCCACTCATTGACAATTCAAAGATACCACACTACCACCTGATTAATTGCCTCTTTGTTGATTTTTTCAGTGCCTTTGTGGATAAAGAGGAAGAGGCATTGTCTTCAGAGAAACCTGGTTCGTCACTTGCCCCTCTCTCTGAAGATGAAACGGGACCAGTTCTGAGGTGAGGAGGAGATTGTGATCATGATACGATTTCTTTAATTGTATCTATAATCACATTTTTAAAAATCACATTAAAAAAAAAAGGATGCTGAGAGCTGGAAGGGCGTTACCCCGTATCCTTTATATATGATTCACTCCCTCCTGGTTCTTAAAGAGGCAGAATGCTCAAGGAGAACAAAAAACTAGATTTCAGTAAACTGGGCCCCATTTCACAAAACTTGTCATCAATGACTAATGTTTTTTTTGTTAACAAGCTAATGAAATCCTTGCTTCTGATTGGTTATCAGCAGATTTGTCACTGATTTCTGACATTTGTCATTAAAAAATGCTTGTGAAATGGACCCAGTTGCCTTATATATGTGTTACCCTGGATACAGGTTTCATTGAGCATCAATGTATACTGAAAACAAAAATGAGGGTCTTACTAGACAAGTGGTCTTTATATACAGGTGGAAACCATGCCGGCTTTATGGTTGATTTCATGCTATTGTGCTTCAGGATATTCCATGAAAAAATAATTGATGCACTTTTGCTTTTGACTATATCTGTATCATCTGTTGAGAGCAAGAAAATTTATTTTACTTTTCTGAAATCTTACGATGACCCATTCTTCTTCGCTCCCTTCTCCTCGTAGCCTCCTTTCCAAGCTGACAGCCCTGAAATCGACAGCGGAGCGGGCACTCGGTGAAGTCTACCAGCCTTCCACTTCCAAGGAGTGGCTTGATCTGTGTGTCGTGCCTCTCTTGAAACGGCTGGAGAGGAGACTAGCAGCAACCAAAGCCCTGGATCAGTGATAACTCCTGGACAACAGGGTCTAGGCCTCTCTTGAAACACCTGGAGAGGAGACTGGCAGCAACCAAAGCCCTGGATCAGTGATAACTCCTGGACAACAGAGTCTAGGTATCGAGCAATAGTAATACTTCCAAGGGCTGTCCATGCAAGCATTAAGGTATCGTGTGTGTTCGAGGATTAGGCTTCAGATGTTGATAACCGTAAACACAAAGGTATCATTGAAGATGTGTGTGTCCCTTATCCCTTTGGAGACGAGCATTATGTATTTCAGGGTTTGGCTTAGTATCTTGATTCAGAGCCTTAAAAATGTACCAGATGCATGAAAAGAACAAGCAAATGTCCATTGTTGTTGCTTGACAACATAGTGTTCGGTGCCTGGAATATTTTCTATGAAAATAAGCTCTAAAATCTTTGAATTTGCAAAATGATTGGAGGTAAATCACTGCTCTCAAACGAATTGGCATTTCGTTTATGTTTCGATGTAGCTCATAACAATGCCTACTGTTACAGAAGCATGATGTTTCATGAGAACAATGTAGCAGTTAAAGAAAAATGCTTGACAAAGCGTTTGATGCCTAGAATATTTTTTCTAGGAAATAAGCTCTAAAATCCTTACATTGGCAACATGCTGGGAGGTTAAATCACTTTTTTCAAACAAATTGGCATTTCTTTTATGTTTCAATATAGCTCATAACAATGCCTATTGTTTCAGAAGCATGATGTTTCATACGAACGATGTAGCAGTAAAAGATAAATGCAATTGGTGCCAATTTGACGAAGATTTGGTGATCAATGTAGCCCTTACAAAATTTGTGCCCTGAAAAAGATATGTGTGTTCCCCGATTCACCATCAGAGATCAAATATAATTTCTAGTTTTATGAGTTTATTATACCCAGTGTTCATATGAATCATGGAATGTCTGGAAATCTTGAATATGTTGTAAATTTCCAGTTGGTTGTGCCTGTGTGTGAAGAAAGTCATAACATGCTTTTTATTTGTTTGTTTGGATGTAAATTTGTATCAGATTATTTAATTTCCATGTCGTAGGGTGCAATTTTCTGTTCAAATTGCAGACAAGTTTGAAAATGCACTGCATGTAGTGATGTCCTCTCTGCTAGCACAGGACAAATAAGCCTGCATCTTGGTACCACTTGATCATTCCTCTTAATCAATGGCAATAGGAAATCAAAGACCACTGCTCTATCTACAGGGATGTTAGTCCTATGCTTTTAAGTATTGAATCTAGAAAAGTTGAGTGTATACACAATTAAAGGTCTAACCCACCAGCCTAACTCTGCCGCCTCGGTTCCTGGTTTCGGGAATCAGCGCGACTGGGTTGGCCTCCCACCTGGTCCGTACGGTGAGAGGTGTGGGGTTGGCTCACACAGACCACCGATTTTGATTTGGAAATATGCAGGCTTTAAAAGGTTACCAGGGATTTAAATAACTAACTCTCTTTACTGTCTCTCTTTCTCTCTCTCTCTCTCTCTTTCTCTTTTAATAACACCAAAAAAAGTACTAGCTCAGAATTTGAATTTACGCCATAAGGATATAAAAGAATTTACTATTTGCCTTGCATGCCTCTCAAGCAGCCAATGGCCGATATGAGCTCATTGTAAGTAGCCTGGCTAGGCCGAGGCCCTACCTACATTTGTAGGGTTAGAAGCCTCCTCAAAGACAGAGTATAAAATACATAATTTTGGTTATGTGTCATTTTTAAAAAGGAGAAAACTTAGTATAATTGTTACCTTGCAACTGTCGAGGACAAATTCATAAGTAGGGAGTCAAATATTTTTGTTTAAACAACTTGCACCTGATGAGGGCATTATTCCATTGACAGCCTGTGGAGCCAGGGCGTCGAGGACATCTTCATGAGTCTGATTGTATGGTGGCGCTGGTCCCCCACCTGTATCTAAAAAGACAAAACATGGTGAATTATATTCAATTGTATCACATTTTTTCCCTAAAATATATCGAAGTGGACAAATACAGGAAGTGATCTGAAATATCAGACACTAAAACACCAGCTTTTGAAGGCGGGTGAACATTAGCAAAGTGTTATCAATAAGAGTAACGGAAGTAAAATATTCTCTGGAATTTAACGAAAACCCACTTAAATATATAATATCTGCCAAATCAACCGTTATTCTTAGTCGCTGTGATGGATCTACTGTATATTGGTTCAATAATTGAAAGGTCTTCCTGGGTTCTCGACTACAGATATGCTCCCGGCACAACAGGAGATAAAATATTCTCTTATTAGGTGAATAGCACCGGCAACTCAACTGGCTGGGCCGGGACCGCCATGATAGAATATCAGCGGGATCAGTTGTTCCGCGTATACATTATGGGATACATTGTGACGTCAGCCACGTCACTGCGTATATAGTAGCTCATGCATATAAGACATATTACTACATCCCCCCTTTCGTACATAAAAAGTGATCCATTGTCTTAAAACCGTCATGGCACAGGTTCGCACCTGGCTGCCAGACGCGATATTACACGCTCTTTTGCCAATTAGCTTATCGTTAAATGATCTTGTAGCATGTTTGATACGTACTATCAAATACTTGTCAATTATTGAGCATATCAAACCTGGAACATGATTTGCATGTGCCTCTTAATTGTTCACACATATGAGCATCCAATGTACTGAACAGGTTGTTAACATCGAGGTGATCTAGACAAGTACGTTGGATAGTATGCCTCAAATCTTTTGACACATCGTATATCTTCCCCTTCACTAGGGGCATGCCAACAAAATGCTTTCTCGGCCGCTTTGCAGATATTGTTCACTGACTGTGATGGGTATTGGAGGCCACCATTGTATTGGATTTCATTTTATATAAAGTTCTAAATAACCAGTGTATAGGCTGCTTCTGATGTACTGAGACCCCTGGGCGCTGGCATCGGGCAGTCTGATCAATCACTGATCAAACTCTGTTACGGCGGCCCTGTTATCACGTGTAGCACATGTAGAGCTCGTCACGTTCGTCACTCTGCTATCACATGGAGCTAAAAATTGGCTCGATGTCTGGTTGATAATGGCCACTGTGATCACCTCGGCTCTTTGGATCACGTCGGGGTCACCAATTTGTGGTGCTGTGCATTGAACATACCAATGACTCTTCGAATATGTAAGTGTAAAATTGGTCATCTTCGGAGTCTGAAAGGGAGTCGGAACTCGAATCCATCTTTTATTTGCAACTCCTGACCAACTAAGACAATATCTTTGCTTGTACCTCTCCTATTTTCCCTTCACCTCGCTTTTGTGAACAAACAGACCACATTCTTCTAACTTAACATATGTCTTCGTCCCACCGCCTTCATCAACCTGCCGTCTCAGACTTTGGAGATTGGGATTGAGAATTTCATAGCACATTAATCTCTTGATTGTTGGCCTAGGATCTTGACTGCGTGATGATGATGGATCACTTAGTGAAGCTTGTCTTGTCACAGCTGATTTAAGGTTAGATGCTGTAATCATCCCTGTACGGAATTTGGCCCACTGGCCGTTCTTCGCTTGGCCTCTTGTTTGCGCTTCTCCTGCACCGACTTGCTCCTGGTTGTACGTATATATATATATTTCTATCAAGATCAATTTCTCCTCCAGCTTGGATAGACTCGATTGAATGTTACTCTGTATTTCAGGTAGCTTGTTTTCTTGATTTCCGTTATTTTGTCGGAGTTGAATTGAACGCTTCTTTCTACTTTGTTGACTTTTTTTATTCGGTTGACTTGATGTAAAATGGAAGTGCAGGTCTAGGGACACGGCTTCTTGCACAAAAGGTTGCAGCTGGGAGTCCGTAAACTCGCGCTGCACCTGCTGTCTTTTGGTGCTAGGGCTCTAGGGCCTTGAGACTTGGCCAGGGCGCCGGGGCTATGGACCCGACGGCGGGCTGTAGTGCACAGTGTGCAGGCATGTCATGTATATCGATGAAAAAGGGCCCCCAAAGTAGGCCTATACGGCCAAACCATCAATTCCACCTACTATCTAGCAAATCCCTTTCTTTTGGGTTGTCCCATCCCCCCAAAATTGATGCTGTTTGACTGGATTGGTAACCTGTCTCTTTTTGCACAGATCCAAGGCCAAATTGAGCCTAACTAAAGGTGGCTTTTGGATTTTCCTGTCTTTCAATGTCGGCTCTCTCATTGCACGTCATGCACAACGATGAAAAAGGGCCCCCAAAGTAGGCCTATTTGTTGTTGTATAAAGATTGACGTATAAAATAAGCTACTTACCGAAAACAGACTTTAGAAATACTAGCAGATTCCTGAAAAGCCACTGAACTTGGCTTTTGTGAATCAAAATATGAACTTTATTCATTAAAAACTAACAACTCACTAGAGTTACATCATCATTTAGACTTGTTTGGCTAGTCTATTTCAGCCTCATCTTCCTCGTCAACAGATGTACTGATATCCGGGCCTCCAACTTGGTGTTCTGCGCCTCCATCTACCAGTTCTAAATAAAAAGGCTCCACATAGAGATGAAAAACTTCACCTCACCACTCAATGAGAATTGTTCACTTCTATGGTGAAAATATTAACCAAACAAAACACTCAAAATACTACTAGACTATATAACGATTGAATAAAAGGATGAGTGAACGGAGTTGAGTGAACAGATAGCGCGATGATCGAAATGCTATAAATATCATACAGGAAGAACGTGGTTTACAAACAAAAGTAAAACATAACATTTTACATCACTGGTTTTCAAACCACAACTTTCTCCTGTGCCTTATGGATGGTGACATCAACTAACATCCCGTAGCTACCAACCACCATGCTGGTCAATTTTTCCGACAACTCGCTGTTTGTTTCCAAATCGTTAAGATAAACATCATATACGGGAGAGTTCGCCTCATTCAGCATTACAGCCCTTTTCAAAAAGGCTTTTTGTGATCCTCTTGCCGTTAACTCCTCAGCCACCCCAAAATGTGCATCTCTCCCCCTTTCCATCTTGGAAATTCCGATGCAAACAAGTTATAGAATACTACTACATAACTTGTCGTAGCTTTTGAAATTTGAGGGTCCACCAGTAGAGCGTCTTGTGAGCCATTGTCTTTAGATACTCGCAAACCTTTGCCAGGGTCTTCTTTAATGTGAAGGAAGACATTGCGTGGGGGTAATTTTCACAAATCAACTTCACGCCACAAAAAGAGCACAAGTCATCTAAATTCAAACTCACAAAATGAACCATCCAGACCATATCATACTCATAGCACACTAAACATATTAATGTAGACGAACCCACCCTACCCCCGCAACTTTGCATTTTCCCAAACCAAAACGACACGCCCACATGTGATATATGTAAAACAAAGGAACAGGGATGTATTGTGTGTTGTGGAATAAGGAAGAGGCATGTGGCATTGTGGAACGAAGAAGCCACATCTTGTATATGTATAATTGTGGAATAATGTAGGGATATAATGTGTGTTTGTGGAATAAGGAAGAGATATTGTGGCATTGAAGAACAAAGAAGCCACATCTTGTAATTGTTGAATAATGTAGGGATATAATGTGTGTTTGTTCAATAAGGAAGAGACATTATGTGGTATTGAAGAACCAAGTAGCCACATCTTGTATATGTATAATTGTGGAATAATGTGGGGATTTAATTATTAATCCACATATCCGTCATCCGACACAGCCATCACCTCAGCTCGAAATTCGGTATTTTCCTCTACCGCCTTCATGTAAAACAAAAAAAACCATTCAACACAATAATACATGCACATTTATTTCAACATCAGTTATCACCAAAACATAGAGTTACTAGAATAAATATTAAAGATACAAGAACAAACAATTGTAATACTCACAACAACCCAACCCTCTTCTCTTCCTCAAAAGAACAAAAAAACAAATACAGATGACACCTCTCTTGATCACCAGTGTGAGAAAGACAAAAGACTTTCATCTGTTTGGACACATTTTATTTCATGCCTCTAAACTTCAAAAGGTACCTCACCACCTTTGGGTTTGGGATCCCGAGAAAATATAGAGAGTTTGAAAGGATTCTGAATTACAGTTTGTGATCTAACTACAAGGGGAGCAACATCATCATTGGGTTCTTCTTTCAATTTCAGAACGAGATTGGATGTGGGAATTTCCAATATCTCAACTACTTTATCATCTAAGGTCTGGTTATTCAGTTCCGTTACTGCTCGTGAAGCTAAGACACTACTGGCGAAAGCACAGTGAGCGTTACTGGTGCTCTTGCCGGCTAAAGAGTCCTTGCCAAAATTTAAATGGGACACTTCCCCAATCCTCCGAAAGAATCCTTTTAGACTGTCCTCAGTAGTTAAAGGACTCGATCAGTTTTTTATTTACTCATCTGCAGTAGGCTCTTGCACCTCTTCAGCTGGGATGGTCTTGCGTCGCTTCAGTTTCG